TGTATGTGGCAGCTGCTGCCGAAGGATGGGATAATTTTGGCTCTGAAAATTCCCAGAGATTCTATTTTGGGAAGCAGGAGTCGTAAGGAGGAGCAAAATCAAGAAAAGAGGTGTCTGCTTGTTGCTCTCGGGTTGGCACGCTTATTAAAATTCTCCGCTGCCGTTACTCTTCTTTAATTTCTTTCTTCCCGGCCTCCCATCTCTCCCAGCCATTAAAAATGAGAGCATGTTTTATAGACAGCCCTTAGGCTCTTTATAGAGATCCTCTCTCTCTTTATTGACCCCCTGAGATTCAAACTGACGCTCTCCGAGTGTAATTTTGCTCGCCCCATCTCCTTCCGATGGATGCGATTTTCAGAATGCTCTGGAGAGCCAGACAGGAGACAGAGGACTCAGATCCCGAAGACTTTGGAAGCATTAGGAGACAGAATATGATGCCTCGGGTTTTCCTACAGGATGTGGTAAAAGCTAGGAGACCTAGGGAGCAAGGGGGATGGGGTTGGTATGGTTGATGGATGCTCTTTCGACTCGTGCTATGATGACCCAACATTTTGGAACAGCTGTCAAATAATCCACCTTGCGGAATAATTTAATACCAGGTTGAGCCACTTGTTCGCATTCAAAGCTGGAGGGACTGCTGCAACAAAGTGGGCATGGTTTGTGGTGGCGGCAGCTGCTACCCCGAATTTAAAACAATAAATTAGAATTTTACAAAATTAGAAGTTTACAAAATTAGGGAGCCAACGTGAAATGCCCAAATTAGAATGGGAGTTGTGGCACCATTCCAAGCTCCCCAATGTTTATGATGTAAGACTATATGAAATAAGAATGTGCATTTTGGTGGTGATAGTAAGATGGTATCCTATCATTATTTATTGGAGAAGTCGTTATTGAAAGCGTGTTTGCGGATTAAACCATACTGTGCAAGCGTCCCAATGGCATGAGCAGGTAAGCAGATGAGGAAAGGAAAGCACAACGTTCTCTCCAAAGAGCCAGCGTGGTGTAGTGGTTAGGAGCAGTTGACTTGTAATCTGGGGAACCGGGTTCGAGTCTCTGCTCCTCCACATGCAGCTGCTGGGTGACCTTGGGTTAGTCACATTTCTCTGAAGTCTCTCAGACTCACTCACCTCACAGAGTGTTTGTTGTCGGGGAGGAAGGGAAAGGAGATTGTTAGCCGCTTTGAGACTCCTTCGGGTAGTGATAAAGTGGGATATCAAATCCAAACTCTTCTTCTTCTTCCAAAGCCCAGGGTTTTGTCTTTCTTCTCCCTGACAAGCTAGGATTCACAAACCAACAGTAAACCTTGGTTGTGCCTGGCAGGCAATTCCAGGAACAACTCATAATCCGGGTTTTGAGGTAACACTAAAGTTATCTCCCTTGACCTGGTTTGTTTATCTGATTTATGCAGAGGGAAGATTCCAAAATGGGAACGACTGGGCTTTCTACACTTTGTGGTTTATTAAGCCAAGGCTCTTTGTCATATGCAAACATGGGCAATGGAAGGCCCCATCTGCACTGTACGTTTAAAGCACTTTCACACCGCTTTAACTGTCATGGCTCCCCCTATCTATCTATCTATCTATCTATCTGTAATTTATGAAGGATGCTGAGCATTGTAAAGAGACCCCTTTTCGCCTCACAGAGCTACAATTCCCAACGGTTCTTGGGTAGAGGGATTGATGGTTAAACCGCTCTGGGAATAGTAGGGAAATGAAGGGGTGGTCTCCTGAGAACTCTCAGAAGCCTTAACAAACTACAGTTCCCAGGGTTCTTTGAGGGAAGCCATGGCTGTTTAGATGCTACTTTACATGTATATGACAGATGCAGAACGTGGCACATAGAGACATGAATTTTGGAGGTCAAACCTGTTACGGTTGGTCATTTGTCAACATTTTAAGACTGTTGCCAAACAACCTGTCGTCCTCCCCTTCCTGTTTTTCCTGTTGACTTTACTCCAAAATGTGTATTGCATTCAATTAGAAGCTGAAATAGTTGTTTGCTTGGAACTCAGAGCCTTCTTCAGGCACAGAAGGAAAATAGCTGGCAGGTAAAGGTAAAGGACCCCTGGACGGTTAAGTCCAGTCAAAGGCGACTATGAGGTTGCAGCTCTCATCTCACTTTCAGGCCCAGGGAGCCGCTGTTTGTCCACAGACAGCTTTCCGGGTCATGTGGCCAGCATGACTAAACTGCTTCTGGTGCAACGGAACCCGCTGACAGAAGCCAGAGTGTACGGAAATTCGGTTTACCTTCCCGCCACAGCGTTACCTGTTTATCTACTTGCACTGGTGTGCTTTTGAACTGCTAGGTTGGCAGGAGCTGGGACAGAGCAACGGGAGCTCTCTCCGTCATGGGGATTCGAACTGCCGACCTTCTGATCTCCAAGCCCAAGAGGCTCAGTGGTTTAGACCACAGCGCCACCTGAGTCCTTAAAGAACTCAAAGCCGCCTTCAGGCGCAGAAGGGAAATAGTTGTCATGGAGCATTGGACCCCTGCAATTTCTGGCAGGAAGAAGCCTCAGCATTGGCCAGCTCTAGTGTATAAATACTTGGAGCCTGATCGTCTGCTTTTGTCGGATCAACAGGCAGGTTACTTGCTGCTGTCGGCTTCGAGCTTGCGGCTCAAGGATCTTTAACTGGAATGTCTAACAGGGGTCAGCAAGCTTTTTCAGCAGGGGGCCGGATCCACTGTCCCTCAGACCTTGTGGGGGGCCGGACTATATTTTGAAAAGAAGAAAAGGAACGAATTTCTATGCCCCACAAATAAACCAGAGATGCATTTTAAATAAAAGTCACATAGTCTACTAATGTAAAAACACGCTTATTCCCAGACCATCTGCAGGCCGGATTTAGAAGGCGATTGGGCCGGATCCAGCCCCCGGGCCTTAGTTTCCCTACCCATGGTCTAGATCATTGGTTCTCAACCTGTGGTTGCCCAGATGTTGTTGGACTACAACTCCCATCATCCCTGAGCTCTGGCTTTGCTAGCTAGGGGTGATGGGAGTTGTAGTTCAACAACATCTGGGGAACCACAGGTTGAGAAAGGCTGGTCTAGATGCTAGCCTTAGCTTCACCCTGTCGCCCACAAGTTAACAGCCATCAAATGGAAGTTAGGCAAGCCTTATCTTCTGAGCATGCCTGGAGAGGTTAACACCACTGTATATCAGTGCCTGTAATCCATGCTAAATCCCTGAGGCACCCCAGCAGTGCTTCCTGATCAAGTGTATCAGGGCCTACTAAAACCAATGGGGTTGCACCCCCTCAGTACAGGACTACAAGCAAATTGTCTATCTGAATGACCAAATCTGTCTCTGTCCGCTTGCAAAGACTGGAACCAGATTGCTTATAGATAGACAGGAATTAGCAAACAAAAAAGTTTAATACATGAGTGCCTGGGCCAGATAGATGAGTGTATGCTTTCAGAACAAACAAACAACAACCATTTTATTATTTATACCCTGCCCAACTGGCTGGGTTTCCCCAGCCACTCTGGGCATCTTCCAGCATATATAAAAACGTAATAAAACGCCAAACATAAAAAACTTCTCAATATAGGGCTGCCTTCAGACGACTTCTAAAAGTTATGTAGTTCTTTATGTCCTTGACAACTGACGGGAGGGCGTTCCACAGGGAGGGCGTCGTTGCCGATAAGGCCCACTGCTTGGTTCCCTGTAACCTCATTTCTCACAGTGAGGGAACTGTCAGAAGGCCCTTGGAGCTGGATCTCAGTGTCTGGGCCGAACGATGGGGGTGGAGACGCTCCTTTAGGTATACAGGGCCAAGGCTGTTTAGGGCTTTAAAAGTCAGCAACAACACTGTGAATTGTGCTCTGAAACATAGGGGGAGCCAGTGAAAATCCTTTAGGACCAGTGTTCATATAACCGCGGTCTCCCAGCGGCTGCTCCCAGTCACCAGTCTAGCTGTTGCGTTCCGGATTAGTTATAATTTCCAAGTGGGTAGCCCCACGTAGAGTGCATTGCAGTAGTCCATGTGGGAGATAACCAGAGCATGTACCACTGTGGCGAGATATGCTCACCTAGCTGACCAACCCATACTGAGTTCGAAACTGGCTGATGGTGTCCTGGTTCTCCTGGGTTAAGTGATGACGGTTCGAATTCTGACTGCAGCCAGAGTCCTTTTAAAGTAGCTGGTAATTCTTCCCTGAGAAGGAGGGAGATGGTGCATGTCTTTCTGAGTATCTTGACTGCCTGCAACAGGCAACAGTAGCGCTCTCCTTATCTGACCAGATTATGACCTGGCGGTGGACTGGACATGTCTGGTGCAAGACCGGCCGTGCATACAGCCCGTTGGGTTGGACGCGAGCCATTTTTATCTGTAAAATAAGTTTCCAGAGTCTTTTAAAAGCCAATTAAGTCCATAAGCCTCTGGGGGCAGACTATCTTAATAGGTTTGTTGCAGAGGTCTGGAGCACACCGTACAAGTGCTAAGTTCATGGGCACTGATCATGGGTATGCAAACGTTGAATGCACCAGATTCATTCTAGCTTCTTATTATTTTGTAATCTGTAGACAGTCTTCTTTTACTGTATATGAGGAGCAGCCTTGAGGTCCTCTCTAGAGAATCTTGTAGCGTTGTTGTCAGACATGATTTTCAGATTGGTTTTCTAATATAGGATTATTGTTCCTGGGATTTGTGGAGGTGTGAAATTTGTGTTTATTTGATTTTTGGACGTGGAAATGTATTTTCATTTTGTAAATGGCTCAGAGTGGAAATTTCCTTCATAGGGCAGCCTCGAAATCTTCAAAACAAACACTAAAAATGGTTTTGGGCACAATTGCAGATCAAGACCGAGGAAAGCTTCATCTGTTGAATTTCTGCATGTCATAAAGACGTTTAAGGTCACAGGAGCCTTATCAGATGTTAATCCTACAGTACAATAATTAAAATTATGTGAACCGCCCTGAGATCTTCGGGTATAGGGCGGTATAGAAATTAAATAAATAATAATTATAATAATTATAAAATAATTATCCTTTGTTTTAGGAGCCGCAAAATTCAGATAAGAAACATCCCCCCTCAGTTACGATGGGAGGTAAGTGAGGTCTCTGACAAGTGCGTAGTCTTAGCATCTGTGTCTGAAATGTCTTTTTAATAAACTGGAAGCTGCATGCTGGATGAGTGAGCTTTGGGATACTTTGAGATGTGTGAATAGGACAGAGCAATGGAGATTATTAGAATTTTCCGATTCCCTTCCGTTGCAAAGAAAAGAATCCATTTGGAGTGAAAGGAAAGAGACCAGATTAAATGGAGTTTCCCTCTTGCAATGCATGCATTTCCTAAACAATGGTGCATGCTACTTAGCTAATCTAACCGCTGAAATGCAGGTGCATGTTTGCATACCGTATGAGTACATTTTCAGGTTTTTTGAGCTCCGCTTTGAGACCTTGGCTCCATCTTCAGTATAGATTTAAGAAAGTAACATTGCCTCTTCAAACACTCAGGGCACCCTCTAAAGAATCTGGGGAACTGTGGTTTGTTAGGGGTGCTAAGAGTTCTCAAGATATTCCTATTTCCCATCACACGGAGCTACAAGTATCCAACTGGTCGTCAATCCCTCTTCCCAGGGAACTCTGGGAATTGTAGTTCTGGAAGTGGAATAGGGGGGTCTCCTAGCAACTCACAGCACACTTTACAAGCTCCAGACTCCCCAGCGTGGTGTTGGTTTTTTTTTGGGGGGGGGGGGAAGGCACGACCTTAAATGTACAATGCAAGTGAGTTCTTCGTCTCCTGTGGGCTGTTGTTGTTTTGTCCTTCATTTTTGGCGCTTCCTTTCCTGATTTTTACCTTTGGTGAAATTTTCTGTGTAACTCTTTCTCTTCCACAAACCACTTCTTTTTGTTTCTTCCACATCTGAATAGGTTCTGGATGGTTTGCTAGCTCAGTATGGTACTGTGGAAAACTGTGAACAAGGTAAGGACCTTTGAGATGTTTCAGAGAATGTATATGGGTGGGCCTTGGAGCAAAAGACAGGAACCAGACCAGGGCAATGGATGAAATAGGCTGTAACCACTGAGCCTCTTGGGCTTGCTGATCAGAAGGTTGGTGGTTCGAATCCCCACAATGCGGTGAACTCCCATTGCTCTGTCCCAGCTCCTGCCAACCTAGCAGTTCAAAAGCACACCAGTGCAAGTAGATAAATAGGTACCGTTGCGGCGGGAAGGTAAACGGTGTTTCTGTACGCTCTGGTTTCCATCACGGTGTCCCGTTGTGCCAGAAGCAGTTTAGTCTTGCTGGCCACATGACCTAGAAAGCTGTCTGTGGACGAACGCCAGCTCCCTCAGCCTGAAAACAAGATGAGCGCCACAACCCCATAGTCACCTTTGACTGGACCTAACCATCCAGGGGTCCTGTACCTTTTTTTTACCTTTAATCATAGAATTGTAGGGTGGGGACCTTGAGGAGCATCTAGTCCAACCCCCTGCGATGCAGGAATCTCAACAGACTCAATACCTGACAGATGACATTCCGACCCCTTTGCTATTCATTCATTCATTCACTCACTCACCAGATTTCTGGACTGCTGTTCCTTACACATAGCGATCTCAGGGTGTGAGGTTACAGCATAACATATTGCATAGACACTCAGCTCAGGATAGAATTTGTGGCATATGGTTAAGGGTGAAACCCATATTCGTAAACCAACACACGTTATAACTCTAGCAGAAGATCCCAAACCTCTTTGTGGTATGCGTGTATGAATACACGTGAGTGCTGGACATGTGTGTGGGTTCAGACATATATATGTCACCGCATACAACAGGGGCTGCAATAATGCCACACACAATACCTAGCGGAAATGGCAGGGTTCAGTGTGGGTCCTTCTGAGCCCAGGGCTGTCAGCAGGTGCCTGGTCATCCTGACACCACCCCTGTGGTCCAATCTGCTAGGAATTGCGAAAAAACAAACTTCTTTAAGATCCAGCCCTTGCTTTCTCTCATGCATGGTGAGGATTGAGCTTGTTTTATACAGAGTTATTTTTATCAATGATATGGGTGCCTGCTTTAGCTAACCGAGATTTCTTCTTCCTCCTCGTGCAAGTGAATACGGACAGTGAGACGGCAGTTGTCAACGTCACCTACTCCAACCGGGAACAGACCAGACAGTGAGTTTTTTAAGTACCTTATTGGCTTGTAATTGTTATCTGACTTGGTCCTTGGGTGTGTTCACAATTCTGCGCAGGGCTTTGAATTCTGTGGCTGGCACAAAAATCCCCCCCCCCCCACAAATGCATTTGCTGTTGCCTGCCTCCTTAATTTATGTCTGTTGCAAAATCTGTGACCTATTTATTACAGTGGTACCTCGGTTTACGAACTTAATCCATTCCGGAAGTCTGTTCTTAAACTGAAACCGTTTTTAAACCAAGGTGCACTTTCCCCAATGAGGCCTTCTGCCGCCGGTGCCCTTCCACCATTCAGATTCTGTTCTTAGACCGAGGTATAGTTCGCAAACTGGGACACTACTTCTGGTTTTGCGGAGTTTGTAAACTGAATCGTTCGTAAACAGGGCTGTTCTTAAACCGAGGTACCACTGTATTTATTTAAGTGCTTTTATATGTCTCATCCCCCAAGTGATATCAAAGCAATGTTCAGTATTACACAGTTGACATTTTCTTCCTCTTTTGGGGACCACATTCTCAGGGGTTGTGTGACAGTGGTGACTTAGTCTCCCAAATAGAGGCAAACAGCCCTCTCCTCAATTGATCTGTGCAGGTCAGCTAAGGAGGTGATCTATCTGATGACTGGAGAGGGGAGGGGGTGGTTCGCCTCCCCATGAGAATACTGGGCTGGACAGGGAGGTTTAAAGCTCTCTTCCCACCTCAGCAATGGTCGGCAGAAGAACACCACAGGGAGGTTATTTGGGTGACCATGACTGGGCTTGTAAAAAGCGATTGAGCAAAAACATGGCAGTTCATCACCAAACTCTGAGCACAGAAGCATCTCTCTCCCTGCCATGATGCAATGTGTAGAAATAGCGGGGGTTGCAGCAGCATTAAAAGAAAAAAAAGAAGTGCAGTATCGGATTTAAAGGTAGCAGCAGCCGCGCCATGTGTTGGGATGCTGGGATGTGTTACCAGGTTGTCCCATAATGTGGCCTTGTTAATGGTAACATCCCCATCTATAGGTGGCTGTGCGGAACTGCAGCCCATTGCTAAAATTATACTCCGGCCTTGCTTTCTTAAGGCATGTTGTAATCCTAGATCTCTGATGAGTTTACCTCAAATACAGTGATACCTCAGGTTACATACGCTTCAGGTTACATACGCTTCAGGTTACAGACTCCGCTAACCCAGAAATAGTGCTTCAGGTTAAGAACTTTGCTTCAGGATGAGAACAGAAATCGTGCTCCAGCGGCGCAGCAGCAGCAGGAGGCCCCATTAGCTAAAGTGGTGCTTTACATTAAGAACAGTTTCAGGTTAAGAACGGACCTCCAGAATGAATTAAGTATTTAACCTGAGGTACCACTGTAAATAAATAAAGAAGCTTGTTTGTTTGTTTGTTTGTTTGTGGTAAACTCCTTAGAGATCTAGGATTACAACGTGCCTTAAGAAAGCAAGGCCAGAGAATGAATGTGTGTGCATATGTATATGTATATGTATACACACACACACACACACACACACCGTATATTTCCGTGTATAAGACTAGGTTTTTTCCCTTAAAAATAATGTCAAAAATTAGGGGGCGTCTTATACATGGGGGCATCTTATAGACGGATAAAATACGTGTGTGTGTGTGTGTGTGTGTGTGTGTGTGTATTCCTTCATTCATTCTCCACCTCCAAAACCATTTCATCACATTTAGTTTAAGGTGAAATGTACACCTTGACAAAATCTTACGTGTAGCGATAAAAAGCGTCAGGGTATGAAGTGATTTTTTAAAAATGCCATTACTGATGGCCGTTTCGAATTAATGGTGGTGGAGGGGAGAGAACTGCCCATATATCAGCTTCCTTTCCCTTTGTCAGAAGTAAATAAGGGGAAGGGAAGAGCAAAAAATAATAATTAAAAATATCACTGTAAATGAGAAGCAAGCAGCTGTGGCAATCAAAGAGGGAAGAGGGCTTGTGGGTTTCAAAAGGGGGTGGGGGCAGATGCATGAGGAACCTTCTGGCTTTTCAAAATGGCCTTGTTGCTGTATGTTTTTGGCTGCTTTATATATCGGCCTTGCCATGACTCCACCCCTTTTTATTTACTATAATAATACAGCATGTGGTGCGTCTCATAGTGAAGCCTCTGGTGTGTGAATTGGCAGAGCTGGTGTGGTGGTGGCATGGAACAGAGAGTAGTTTGAAGTCCAGCTTCTGTGAGGGAAGGAAAAGTTGTCAGCTGGTTGGGGATTCAAACCTCAGGACAAGTGGTCCAGGGCAAAACTGCACACAGTAGTAGTAGGGTTTGATTTCACATGCAGATTTTAACTAACCAGACAGTTCTTTTGACTGCAGATGTGCTGATTTTAGTTTTAAGTGGAGTTAATTGAGTGGCTTCTCTCTCTGTGTATCTGTCCGTCTTGTCTTCAGAGCCATTATGAAACTAAACGGCCACCAACTGGAAAACCACGCACTGAAGGTCTCCTACATCCCCGATGAACAAACTGTCCAGGGTGCAGAGAATGGGCGCCGAGGGGGCTTTGGATCGCGGGGCGCCCCGAGGCAAGGTTCACCCGTGGCTTCAGGAGCACCCGTGAAACAGCAGCCGGTAGACATTCCCCTCCGCCTTCTCGTTCCCACCCAGTATGTGGGAGCCATCATTGGCAAAGAAGGTGCCACCATCCGCAACATCACCAAGCAGACGCAGTCCAAGTAAGGCCCTGCTAGCTTAACAAAAGTTAAGCTTAACAAAAGTTAGCTTAACAAAAGTGTTTCCATAGCAACCCCACTTGCTTACTGCTACACCTTTGCACTGATTCGCTGCCAAGAGTGTGCTAGGTGCTGCATGGGACACAAGGCCGGCCCTATTGTTGGGCAGAGTGAGACGTCTGCCTCAGACGCTGGGGGGTGAGGTGCTGGAAGGCACAGTGGTGTGTGTGCCAGGCAAGCTGCGTCACATCCCTTCGGATGTCCTGCAGGGCTTAGGCAGAAAGGAAGGCCCTTTGACGCTGTTGAAGCCCAGTTGGTATATGGGAGGCGCCATCTTGTCCTTCTCCCTAGGCAAATAAAGCGACGGGGTATGCTCTGGTGGAAACTTAGCCCAGAAGGATTTAAGCTGTTAAGACTGGCGGGTCAGAGGCCTGGGGATTGGGATTCAGAGAACAAAAGTGTGCCTGCTCTTGGGCCTAGAAGGCACCTCAGGCTGCAGATGTGGGTGCTGTTAAGGGTGGCACATTGGGACATTTATTTATTTACAAGGGTGTGTATGTGTCTTTATATAATATATACGTGTGTTGTGTGTGTACACACACACACACACACACACACACACACATTCTTGACCTGCTACAGGATATTTTCAGTGATGGTCCCCTGTTTGTGGAGTGCCATACCCTGTGAGGTACAAATCTTCCCCTCATTATTACCTGGCTCATGGAGACCCAGCCCACTGGGAAATGATATATTATTTCGTTTTTTGTGCTACCCTTTCTCTAAGAAAACAACTCTCTCTTTCCCTTTCCCCTCACTGCAGCCTCATGACATAGCTTAAGCTGAGAGACAGGGACTAGCCCAGGAACTAACCCAGTGAGCTTGATGGCTGAGGAGGAGTTTTAACGCAGGCCACCTCAGTCCCAGTCCCAGAGCTCCATTGTTTGAGATCCAAAATTACTTCTACTGCAGAAATGTTCCTTTACTGGATGTTTAAGAAGGCCTACAAATGGCCTTGTTCTTGCCCAGGGAGTTTTACAGATCTTCCTGAAGTTGACAAGATGGACATGGAAGGGAAAAGTCAAGGATTGTGAGATGTGTAGCAAAGATGGGGAGCCTGGGCAGAGGCAGAGGAGCAACCAAGGGGAGTCAGGTTTCTGAAGCATCTGTTGGGTGGTCTTTGGGTTTCTGGTTCTTCGGGCGCATGCTGTGGTCCTTCTTTTCCGAGTTTTGCTACTCAAGCAGCTGGCTCTTCTCTCCCTTCCCTGCAGAATCGACGTGCACCGGAAGGAAAACGCCGGGGCAGCAGAGAAAGCGATCAGTATCCATTCGACCCCAGAGGGCTGTTCTGCCGCTTGCAAGATGATTTTGGAAATCATGCAGAAGGAGGCAAAAGACACCAAGACGTAAGGCTGTGGGCTATCGTTGGCGCAAAGTGTGGCATTGGCTTAGTGGATAGTTGTTCATTTCCTTGACATCTGATGGGAGGGCGTTCCACAGGGCAGGCACCACTACCGAGAAGGCCCTCTGCCTGGTTCCCTGTAACCTCACTTCTCGCAGTGAGGGAACCACCAGAAGGCCCTCGGAGCTGGACCTCAGTGTCTGGGCTGAGTGATGGGGGTGGAGACGCTCCTTCAGGTATACTGGACTAAGGCTATCTAGGGCTTTAAAGGTCAGCACCAACAATTTGAATTGTGCTTGGAAACATACTGGGAGCCAATGTAGGTCTTTCAGGACCGGTGTTATATGGTTTTGGCAGCCACTCCCAGTCACCAGTCTAGCTGCCGCATTCTAGATTAGTTGTAGTTTCCGGGTTACCTTCAAAGGTAGCCCCACGTAGAGCGCATTGCAGTAGTCTGAGCGGGAGATAACTAGAGCATGCACTACTCTGGCGAGACAGTCCACCTACAGCTTCCAGAAGAGGCCTGTCTATTCAGGGGTTGGTGTCCCAAAGTGTAAGAGGTTGCCTGGAATTGACCTCAGGAGCATGTCAGAATGTGGGAGTCCAACCCTCTGATTTCACCCCTTCCCCCCCAACTTCTCCCCCCTCACACAGGGCTGATGAAGTGCCCCTGAAAATCCTAGCCCATAACAACTTTGTGGGACGGCTGATCGGCAAAGAAGGCCGCAACTTGAAGAAGGTGGAGCAGGACACAGAGACAAAGATCACCATCTCTTCGTAAGGCTTTCTTCTCCATTCTATCCCCTCACCCCCTTTCGTTTTGACCCCCTTTTTATATATAAAAAAGTATTGTATTCAAATTAGGCTGTGTTCACACTAGGGCGCTATGGAGTGTTGAATCTTTTTCCCTTCATCCACACAGGAGCAGTTTCTATTTTATTCCTTCATAATCTACCTCAAGAGTTTCCCGCCAATACTGTTGGGCAAGGGGTATATTTGTACCATGTGTTGTTGTCCTCTCCCCTCAGTTAGTTACTTCCCTGCCCACCATAAGTCCTGGAAACTTGAGGTGCATTGTGGGCCAGTGTGCACTCACTTTAAAAAAAAAGTTGCTTTTTTTGGAAAGACGTATTTTGCACGAAACAGCAGTCAAAAATGAAATGAGATTATTCATGTTGCTCCAAGTTGGGCAAGGATTTGGGGACACTTGCATGAAAGGCTGATGCTTCCTTTCCTCCCCAGGCTGCAGGATTTGACCCTGTACAACCCTGAAAGGACCATCACTGTGAAAGGCTCCATTGAGAACTGCTGCAAAGCAGAGCAAGAGATCATGAAGAAAGTGAGAGAAGCCTATGAGAACGATGTGGCGGCTATGAGTGTGAGTCTGCTTATGTTGCACCTTCTCTGAGCATTCAGAAGCTCTAAAGACAGCCCATCTAGAGCTACTGCTATGGGAATCGCTGGCTTTCCATCAAAAGGCTCCAAAATCCATTCAGCTGCTTTGTATGAATACGTTATCCTTCAAAAGCCGTTACCTAGTCGGTTGTGGACTTGGGAATCTTAATTCTTAGGCATTGGGTTCTACATTGTTATTTTGAAAAGCATTGGTTTCTCCCTGCCATCCTTTCTTTTCCTCTTATAGGTTATAATGGTATGACAAATAAAGTAGGATGCAGATGGGCAGGTGGGATGATAGAAATTCTTGTGGACTAGAAACTTTTGCTTACTTGGTTGCAACATCATAATAAGTTAAGTGGTCAAAAGAGAGACTGTTAAATGACAGATGGAGGAATAACTTCTAAGAAGAAATATGTGCATTTCTCGTGATTTGAAGCAGAGGCCCTGAAACAGAGAAGGTTGGTCGCAAATGAACCCACCAATTAATATTATGATGATGATGATGATGATATATTTATTATTTATACCCCGCCCATCTAGATGGGTTTCCCCAGCCACTCTCCCAACAGAATTAAAAGCACAATAAAACATCAGTCATCAAAAACTTCTCTAAACAGGGTTGCCTTCAGATGTCTTCTAAAAGTCATATACAGTGGTGCCTCGCAAGACGAAAAGAATCCGTTCTGTGAGTCTCTTCGTCTAGCGGTTTTTTCGTCTTGCAAAGCAAGCCCATTGACGGATTAGCGGATTAGCGCTATTAGTGGCTTTTAGTGGATAAGCGGCTTAGCGGCTTAGAAAAAGGGGGGGGGAGGGAAAAAACCCCCGCAGGAACTCGCAAGACATTTTCGTCTTGCGAAGCAAGCCCATAGGAGATTCGTTTTGCGAAGCACCTCCAAAACGGAAAACTCTTTCATCTAGCGAGTTTTCCGTCTTGCGAGGCATTCGTCTTGCGGGCACCACTGTAGTTGTTTATTTCCTTGACATCTGATGGAAGGGCGTTCTACAGGGTGGGCACCACTGCTGAGAAGGCCCTAGTAGTAGTAGTAGCAATATTTAATATTGACATATGGCTTTTTGAATGTTCAGATTGCAGTAATCTTTACAATAATCAGTAGGCATTGTTATTCTCTATAGTAGACGGAGACTGAGAAAGACTTAATTCTGATGTATTGGTTGCATATGGGCAATCTGTCTCTGGCTTAATGAACACAGGCAATGGGATATTAATGCCCGGTGTGCAAATAATGGGCAGCCCTTTTGATTCTCCCTTGGTGCAAGTGAACAAAAAAGCCAGGAAGCCACAGTTAACCGCAGCTTCCTGTTAACACGCAAAGCGGGAGCTATGGTTAATAGCTTCCAAACAAGCCAGGATTTATAAGTCAAGCTTACGATGTGTTGTAAAGCTGGCTTCTGATCCTGGCTTGCTTGGATGCCATGAACTGAAGTTCCCAATTAGAAGGTAACAGGAAGCTGTGGTTGATTGCAACTTCCTGTCTTCTCCTGCACTCATGCGAAGACAGGAGGAAAGCCGCAGGAAAGGGGTTATGTGCAAGTGTGCACGACCTGGATTATTAAGCTAGAACATGAATATCTGCACCAGGCCAATGTCATACCATGGTTTGGCAAACAGCAGCATCTCTGTGGGTTTCCGAGCTCCTACTTCTTCCATCTTGCACCTGGGCTCCCTCCTCTCTGGTTTTTGCTAGCCATAGTTTGCGGTGAAGCCTGAATTTTCAGTCTCAGGTTAGCTCCTTATCTCCAGACCTCTAGAGTGCAAACGGCTGTTCCAAGATTAACACCCACCGTAGCTTGGCACTGACTGTAGTTAGCAAGAAGCAGGAAGTGGAGGGAGGGGCATGTGGCATTTGCCTTCTAGGTGGGTCATAAGGAAAGGGTTAAATGCATGTAATGTGATTGGCCAGAGAGAAACTGAAAGGAGGAGTTAGAGTGAGAGTTGGAGTGGTGTGAAAGTCAGTTGGGAGTTGAAGGAAGAGGGAGGCTAAGTCTGTGGGTTGGTCGAGTTGTGTGGTGAGGGAGTGAAGAATTGTTAGGTGGAGTCAGACAGATAGTTGGAATAATCAGTTTAAAGTTGTTAGGAACGTATAGGACAGTTAAGGAATTAAGAATAAGAATCTGCCAAGAAAAATTAACTGAAACCATAAGCTTGTTCAGGCCTATAAAATAAACTTGATTATTTGTTAATGTTAACAACTGTCTGGACTCCGTGTGTACCCGTGAGGAGAAACGGGTTAGGGGCAGCGAAGAAAGCAATCACAGTGGTGGCACAGGGTCAATAGACCGTCAAACACCCAGGGGCCCTGTGTGATCGCCACAGGGACCTGTGCATGTGAATGGAGAAAGGAGGTTGTCCGAGGCCCATAAGTCCCAGTATACCTGAAGGAGCGTCTCCACCCCCATCGTTCTGCCCGGACGCTGAGGTGCAGCGCCGAGGGCCTTCTGGCGGTTCCCTCATTGCGAGAAGCAAAGCTACAGGGAACCAGGCAGAGGGCCTTCTCGGTAGTGGCGCCCGCCCTGTGGAACGCCCTCCCATCAGATGTCAAAGAGATAAACAACTACCTGACATTCAGAAGACATCTTAAGGCAGCCCTGTTCAGGGAAGTTTTTAATGTATGATATTTTAGTGTTTTTTGGTTTCTATGGAAGCCGCCCAGAGTGGCTAGGGAAACCCAGCCAGATGGGCGGGGTACAAATAATAAATTATTATTATTATTATAAGTCTGCAGTGTTGCCCTTCATTGCCAAATTGTGTGAGTTGCACCAGGGTGGCTTGCCTAAAGCCACCTGAAGAATTCCAAGAGTGACGTGAGCTTGCTTCCGAGTTCTCCGCTCCCACTTTATAGCTTGTGCTGCACCGTGCTTCATAAATGTGTCAGGGTCACTGCTTTGGGGTTGCGGAACAGTTTCTCTTTGTTTACCTTGAGCAGCTGATTGGTGCACCGAAACCTGGGTGCATGGTGGAAAGTGGCAATGTGCTAAAGTGTGTTTCGGTCCCCTAATTACTGTACGGACGCCACCTGTGCTCAAACGTGTTTCCATGGGTGCAGAAGTTTATTATACAGAGCCTTTGGCTGCTTTCTTGGCTGTCTAAAGCAGGACAAATTGATTGAACCAGTTTGCAAAAAGTAAGGCAAAACCGCTGCACTGCGGGAAGTGTTTCAGTGCTGACAGCAAATTCACAGTAAAAATGAATATTTTGCTTGCCATATTACATTTTCTCGCTCTCTTTTTCTTTTAGCTACAGTCACACCTGATACCTGGGCTGAACCTAGCTGCCGTTGGCCTCTTTCCTGCCTCTTCCAATGCGGTGCCTCCTCCCCCAAGTAGTGTCTCTGGAGCAGCCCCATACAGCTCTTTTTTGGTAAGCTTGAGCTCAACCTACACAAAACATTCACTAGCATAGAGCTTTCTTTTTCCTGTAGCATGTGTGAGCTTCAGACAAAATCACATGCAAGTTCTGCCAAAACAAACAAGCCCATGCACTAAACATTCTGTGACATCATAGCAAGTCAGCCAATGGTGGGTGCATGACAGACAACAGTTTCAAACCTAGTAGTTTGGGATATCCCGTTTGACTGATACTGACTGGTGACCCCAGAAACTTTTATCTCGGCAGCCTCCTGAGCAAGAGACGGTGCACGTCTTCATTCCTGCCCAGGCTGTGGGTGCGATCATCGGCAAGAAGGGACAGCACATCAAACAGCTCTCCAGATTCGCAAGTGCCTCCATCAAGGTGCCCGTTCCATTCTGTTTAATCCCTATTGTTGGTTGATGCGAGCCATGATGGTGCTAGAAAACAAAGTAGGCATCCCGGGGTCCCATTTGAACTTCAGGGGAGTTGTGGAAGAGCAACCTGGAATCAGAGAGTTGTAGAGTCCAACCCCTTGCAGTGCAGGAAAACGCAGCTGTACCATACGGGGATGGAACCTGCAACCATGGGATTATCAGCACCATGCTCTAACCAACTGAGCTATCCAAGCTGATCTACATCATTTGGTTCATGCAGGAGCTTTCCAGTGGATTATGCCATTACACTTGTGTTGATGCAACTTAGTGGCACTGTCTGTTCTGCTTGCTATGCTAGAGAGTTTGGGTTCTTAAAATGTGCGGCAAATCTTTTTTACAAAGGCACAGCCACTTTGCCAAGAGTGATGCAAAATTCCTTTTATTTCTTCCCACCCCCACCCCCTGTTAGCAAAGTCAGGTAAATAACACAGAGAGAGCCCAGAGAGAAAAGAATCCTGAAGAAACTGAACGGAAACAGTGTATAATTTAATAAGAAAGGAACAGGGAGGTTTTGTCCTTCTTGGATCAGGCCTTGCACATGGCAGGTACCTGCCCGCTGCCTGCCTGCTTAAAGGAGAATCATGGGGCTGTCTCAAAGAGCCCTTTTGCAAAGTGCTTTAAGACAGCCTGCCTACTTGTCAGGTTTGGCATGTGAGGCCAATACTGAGAAGGATCTGGCTCTGAGCCAAAAGTATTCCTCACCCCTGGTCCACATGGACTGTCAGCTGTTTTCTAGGTTGGAGAGGCTTTTTCTTGTCCTACCTGGATATGCCAGGAATATGATCAGGGACCTTCTTTCTGCAACCAAAGCATGCACTCCACCAGTGGCCCTTCCCTAATTGATTTCTGCAGCTGTCTTGCCCTGGGCTCCTTTAGAGGAAGGTGTAGGGTATGCCATCTAATAAATAACAATCACAATAATTGCCATCAGGAATGGATGGATCATCCTTTGGCTCAGTTCAGTCTGAACTCAGTATCTTGGGAGTAGAGGGATGGGGAATGAATCCCAGGCTTTGCTGATAAATGGCTCTCCCTCCTGTTCTTCCTCTTGTGTCCTTCAGATTGCTCCTCCAGAGACGCCAGATTCCAAAGTGCGAATGGTGATAATCACTGGACCACCGGAAGCCCAATTCAAGGTTTCTTTCCTTCCTTCTTACAGATCAGTGGCCACAGGGAGACTTAAACATGATTAGAAGCATCGTCTTCATTATTTACTGAGTGCCGTTACTCAGGCCCTGTTGCAGGCTTCAAATAGGCACCCAGTTGGCCACTGTGAGATCAGTTTGCAGAACCAGATGTTACCGTTACTGGTTTTTTATCATTATTTAATCACCACTATTGTGTCACACACGGGTGGCGCTGTGGGTTAAACCACAGAGCCTAGGACTTGCCGATCAGAAGGTCGGCAGTTCGAACCCCGTGACGGGGTGAGCTCCCGTTGCTCGGTCCCTGTTCCTGCCAACCTAGCAGTTCGAAAGCGCGTCAAAGTGCAAGTAGATAAATAGGTACCGCTCCAGTGGGAAGGTAAATGGCGTTTCCGTGCGCAGCTCTGGTTTGCCAGAAGCAGCTTAGTCATGCTGGCCACATGACCTGGAAGCTGTACGCCAGCTCCCTCGGCCAATAAAACCAATGGGGTGACCGCCGCAACCCCAGAGTTGGTCATGACTGGACCTAATGGTCAGGGGTCCCTTTACCTTTATTGTGTCACAATCCATATGCACAATGCTTTACAGAGTAACACAAGCAGAGAGAGAGAGAGAGAGAGAGAGAGAGAGAGAGAGAGAGAGGTCTCTGCCCTGAGGAGATTACCATCCACATTTCAATAATAAGGGAAGCAACAGTCAGAAGAATGAACTGTATTTTTTGGCCAAGGGTGTTTAGGGAGATAACAGAAGTCACTGGGTTAAAGCTGACCAAAAGCCCAGAGGTAGCATTATTATCAATTTACGATGGGGTGGAAGATTTGCAGGCTACGAAGGATTTGCTCACAAATTTATTGACAGCTGCACGAATTATGATAGCTAGGAAGTGGAAGGGGCAAGCAGAATATAAAATGGAAGAATGGTTCAAAGAGGCGTGGGGTATAGCTATTAATGATAAATTAACATGTGCCATTAAGGTAAAACGGGGAATACGCAGGAGAAATGATTTTGGGAAGATGTGGAGGGTGTTTGTAGAATTTGCACTGTTAAAACAGAAAGGGGTCAAACCATCACGAGAGGTGTTGAAATTTTGGGAGGTTGGATAGTTACAATGGGGTATACAGATTTTTATTCTTATTTATTTATGATTATTACTTTGTCAAAAAAATTAAGAATAAGAATAGACCAGAAAGTGCCTTGGTTTTTTTTGTCATGGAGCTCTCAGCGAGCAACAAGACAGCAACTAACTCAACGACGGTGTTGCTGACACTAAGCTCTAGATGTGCCCCTCCCTTCTAGCCTCTCACTCTGGATCTCTCCCAAGCAGATGAAGGCTGTGTCGAAGGGGGTGGGCTCCTCCTTTGGACTTGTCTGGCCTGTTGCTCAGCAATGTGCAGGACCCTCCTCAAGTCGGGAGGAAAGTAAGCAGGACTTGGGACTTGTCTTAGTCACATGCATTGACTCTCAGCTTCCAATCTTGGAGGGCTCGCCTTCTCCTGACCCTTCCTTGATCACTCAAGTCTCCCATTTCTATCAGCTCCCAGCTTGTCCCATCTGCTGACTGCTCCTCAGCGGCCCACCACCAGGCTCCACGCTCTCAGGTGTCATATTTGGTGCCCTCCCTGGGGGGCTGTTGGGATGGCAGCTCCCCCCACTCCTCCCCACCCAGCCTGTCCCTGACAGTTTTAAAATACAGTGGTACCTCGGGTTACATACACTTCAGGTTACATACGCTTCAGGTTACAGACTCCTCTAACCTAGAAATAATACCTCGGGTTAAGAACTTTGCTTCAGGATGAGAACAGAAATCACGCGGCGGTGGCAGCGGGAGGCCCCATTAACTAAAGTGGTGCTTCAAGTTAAGAACAGTTTCAGGTTAAGTACGGACCTCTGGAACAAATTAAGTACTTAACCCAAGCTACCACTGTACAGTTGTACCTTGGTTTTCGAACAACTTAGTTCTCAAAACATTTTGGCTCCCGAACGCCGCAAACCCAGAAGTCAGTATTCTGGTTTGCAAACTATTTTTGGAAGCCAAACATCTTCCGCAGGTTCCGAAGCTGAACAGACTTCTGGAACGGATTCCGTTCGACTTCCAAGGTACGACTGTATAACCAGTGCTGAGTCTCTTAGGCTGGGACAAGGCCAGGGGTGTCCCTGGAACTGGTCGATTAATATCCTCCTGGTCTCTTCATTTCCTCCCCACCCTTCAGGCTCAAGGGCGGATTTATGGCAAGCTTAAAGAGGAGAACTTTTTTGGCCCCAAAGAAGAAGTGAAGCTAGAGACGCACATCCGAGTCCCCGCTTCGGCCGCAGGGAGAGTCATTGGCAAAGGAGGCAAAACGGTAAGTCAGGACTGCTGAGGTCTGGTTTGGGGTCAGACCACTGGCACTGCCATGACCCAAGATGGCATGTGGAGTGTGTCTCACAGTGATGGTGTTTGCTTATTATTGATTATTACTTATTGAGAGCCTGCAAGCGTGCTAGAAGTTAAAGCTGGGACATGGTTCACACTTTGACACCTGCCAGGTGTTTAGAAGTGGTTGAATCCTAACAGAACTAGACCATAGTTTCGCCCCCCCCCACACACACATCATATTTTATTCTCTATTAACATATATAACATACATAATCTATACACTCTTCTATCCAATCTCATTTCACTAATACAATAGTTGACTTCCCCCTACCTCTTTACGGCTTCATCATTTCTCTTTAATTCCTTATCTTTGTACTGTGTTCTAGCAAACTTTCATCCTTCTCTTTATATAATATCTTTCCTCTGTTGTGTTTTTGTGAAATTTACTCTAGGCACATCCAAGTATGACTTTGGGAATCATACTTAATTTTTAAAACAATCCCATTCTTTCTCGATTTTTATGTTTGAGTGATTTCTTATTGCTTCTGTCAGAAACAGAATGACAGACCATAGTTTCTTATGATACCGGAATCAACACTATCTTGACAAAAAGGGGCATGCAAGTGATTAGCAAGGAATGTTTTGAAGTCATGGCTGGAAGTGTTTTGCCAACAGTGGTTTGGGCATAACGTAACAGTTTGTGGTGTTACATTTGCACTGACAAAACCATTGTTTGGGGGTGATGCTGTGCCCTCATAGGGTACTGTTTAGAACAGCGTCCAGAAATATTAGGGGAGAAGGAGGAAGAAACCTCTAAAACCATAATTTGCACGTCTGAAACACAAACCATGAAGTTTTAACTATGGTTAGTGCAAAGCGTGGTTACCTTTGAACCCAGTCTTATTTTTAAGAGTCTGTAGGAGTAAGTGGAAGGGACTGATAGGGTTTAAGTTACAGAATACAGAATAAGATGGTTTAAGTGAACCTTGAACACAGGCAAGCTTGAAGTTCTCTTGTTAGCCTTATTAAAGTGGAGTGAAGCTGGATTGCAGGAGCAGCAGCAGTGCAGGAGAAATGAATCAGGGCTACTTCGTTTCATAAAATCAAAATGCAATTAAGCGTTACTGTCTTTCCAATCGACAGGTCAACGAGCTGCAGAACCTGACAGCAGCAGAAGTAGTTGTCCCGCGGGACCAAACTCCCGATGAGAACGAGCAAGTCATTGTCAAAATCATCGGACACTTCTACGCCAGCCAGGTAGGGGCCACAATAGATCATTCTTGCCATTTTGGCGTGGGTGGAAGAGGTTAAATAAGAACTGGACTAAAGACTTCCCCCACCTGATAGTGTTGGACTCTTAAGTCCCATCAACTCCAGCCTGCCTAGCCAGGGGATAATGGGAATTTAAGTCCCAACAAAATCTGGAGGGCATCAGTTTGGAAAAAGCTGGTTTAGCAGTATCAGAAGACCCATTCCCAGGTTAAAAACACAGTTCGTTACGCCCAGCAAGGACAAATTGTAGTTCATTTAATCTATAGTTTATTGACACAAGCAAAGATCAACCCTTGGTTTCTGAACCTGGCTTATTCCAATCACCATGGTTTAAACCAGGGGTCAGCAAATGTTTTCAGCAGGGGGCCGGTCCACTGTCCCTCAGACCTTGAGGGGCCGGACTATATTTTTTGGGAGGAAATGAATGAATTCCAATGCCCCACAAATAACCCAGAGATGCATTCTAAATAAAAGGACACATTCTACTCATGTAAAAACACGCTGATTCCCAGACCGTCTGCAGGCTGGATTTAGAAGGCGATTGGGTCGGATTCGGCCTCCGGGCCTTAGTTTGCCTACCCATGGTTTAAACTAACAGCAGGAATCTGGTACACGCCAAGGAAAAGAGGAAGCGATTAAGCCTAAGACTGGAGTAACCTCTTTCCAAAGTGCTTAAATATTGTTTTATGTTATGTTCAGGAAGCCTATGTGCAATTTAAATGGTCAGTGGGTTTTCTGTAAAGGAGCAGAAACTTAAGATTCCTTACACTGACTGACAGCAGCCTCTCTGGGGGCTCAGACAAGGGGACATTTCTTGCCCAAACTCCAAATGTCAGGGATTGAACGTGGGATCTTTCCTGGTTGCTCCAGAAAACCTAAACCAGAAAACCAAGAGCAAACCTTGGCTACAGACTGTGGTTTGTTGAGACTGAAATTGATTGCAAACCATGGTTTGGATGTGGTGCTAAGCCAGGGATCATGATTTGCTTCATCCCAGTGCAAATGAGTGTGGCAGGCACAATAAGCCATGGTTTGTTTATTTCTTGAGTGTAGTTATAATCCTCCCTTCACGCAAAGGCCCCAAGGTGGAAAATGCACACACATACAGTCAACCTCGGTTCCTGAACGCCTCTGTTATCGTACGTTTTGGCTCCCAAAAACCTGGAAGTAACTGCTCTGGTTTTCGACTGGTTTTCGGAAGCTGAACATCCGACGCGGCTTCCATTTTGAGTTTCCCTGTTGTATTGAGGCTTCTGCTTTCAGTTTTTGGTTGTCGAACATTTCGGAAGTCAAACAGTCTTCCGGAACGGATTACGTTTGACAACTGAGGTTTGACTGTACTTACATGGAGATCTTGAAAGCATGAGCCAGATTAGAAGGTGAGGGGGCATTCTTTTTTCTTTTCTTTAAATAAATGTAGATTCAGGTAGGTAGCCGTGTTGGTCTGACGCAGTCGAAATAAAAATAAAAAAATAAAAAATTGTCCAGTAGCACCTTATAGACCAACTAAGTTTGTTCTGGTATAAGCTTTTGTGTGGTTGCACACATCTTCAGATACGAAGAAGGTATCTGAAGAAGTGTGCATGCACACCAAAGCTTATACCAGAACAAACTTAGTTGGTCTACAAGGTGCTACTGGACAATTATTTTTATTTTTTATTTTTATTTAAATAAATGTGTTTTGGTATTAATTTTCAATAAAATCAATGGGAGCAGGCATTCACCAGACATTTGGGACCCAAGTTGTTTGGGGCTATGCACATAACATTGGGAAGGTGTTACCTCCTTCCTTCCTCAGATCTCACATTGATCAATTAGTTTGAACAAACAAAAGTGCCTAAATTTCATGTGAATGGGAGGGACAAGGAAGCGAGGTGGCTCTCTCTGCTCCCAACAGCTGCCTCAGTCCAAGTTGGTTTTGTGGATTTTAGAGCTCGGTATTACAGTGGTACCTCTGGTTACGTACTTAATTCATTCCGGAGGTCCGTTCTTAACCTGAAACTGTTCTTAACCTGAAGCACCTCTTTCGCTAATGGGGCCTCCTGCTGCCGCCACACCACCAGAGCACAATTTCTGTTCTCATACTGAAGCAAGTTCTTAACCCGCGGTAATATTTCTGGGTTAGCGGAGTCTGTAACCTGAAGCGTATGTAACCCAGGGTACCACTCTACACAACTCCCCAGCACCTTAAGATCCCACTTCCAGCCTGGAAGATTCAGGAACTCTTGACTCCTTCAGATACAGACATACCTTGGATCCCAAACACCTTGGTACTTGGATGTTTTGGCTACCAAACGCTGCAAACCTGGAAGTCAGTGTTACGGTTTGCAAACATTCTTTCATTTCCGCAGCTTCCGATTGGCTGCAGAAGTTTTCTGCAACCAATCAGAAGCTGCACTTTGGTTTCCGAATGTTTTGGAAGTTGGAACGGACTTCTGGGATGGATTCCGGTCGACTTCCAAGGTACGACTGTACTTAATGGAGTTTGTCAGCCCCAGCCAGCACAGGTAATGGGAGTTGTGGTCCCGAACATCTGGCAGTCACCCAGTCGGGGAAGGTTGATCCACCATATCAGGCCAGTGCCATTGTTTTAAATCTGTTTGCCCTCTCTCTCAACCCCCTCCCCGAATCTTTTTCTTGCCAGATGGCACAACGCAAAATACGCGATATCCTCGCTCAGGTGAAACAACAGCATCAGAAGGGGCAGAACAGCCAGACGCAAACACGGAGGAAATAGGAAGTTTCTTTACCCCGGGTGTGTGAAAGAGAAAACAAAAGAGAGAGAGAGAGAGAGGAAGTGATGGACGAACGGACGACATTGACAACGGATGAAACAAAGCCAAGCCGAAAGAGTGATGAGCTGTTGATGCAGAACCCTAAGAGTGGCTGGGAATCAGTTTACCGTAGGAGGGCATTAGTAACTTTCTTGTAGACGGGTGACGTAATGTCTCACGAGCCAAAGGCAGCGTGCGATTGGCTCCTCGGTCATGCTGTGTGTATATATATAATATATATATGTGTGTGTATGTGTGTTTATTCCTCAGGCATGCAGCACGTATGTATGTAAGGATGTATGTATGTATGTGTATGTATATTTATATATACACACATAAATATGGAGCGGGGAGGGGAATTGGATCGGCCAATAGAAAAGAAAAATCCTAATCGGATCCCATAGTCTGTCAATCTGTCACAATCCAGTAGCTTGAGGGGGCGGGAGCGTTCTCCCATGCAGTTTGCTGTGCTTTTTACCAGACAAAGGGCAGAGCAAAGGCATGTCAATCACACCCCCTCTCCCCCCAATCAAAAACACTTTTAGGGATTTATTTGGGAAACTTAATCTGCCCTCAACATCCCCATGTTGAAAGCCACATTAGTTTTCCCAGTCAGCGGGAGAAGGAAAATGGAGTGGGACCAGATTCTCTAGGGTTATCCAACGAACCTTTCTACCTGTTTTTTGGATGACCCAAGTTCTGTTTGAGTTGGTGGTTGTGGAACTCTGTGAGGCCTGGTTGTCAGGGTTTCTTCTTGCGGCCGTGTGCCCAAATAACTGGAGCTGCCGAGTGTTTTGACCCGGGAGAAGACGCTTCGGCTGACCTTGCCGCCATCAGGAAAGCAGCCCGACTCCAAAGGCAAGTGGAGTCGCCATGTTTTCCGTCCCACAACTTCACCTTGCTTGGTCATGGCAGCTTTCATCTCTAGGTTTCTGGTGGCGCTCGGCTCCGTACCAGTTTCCAGAACTGAAAATTGCTCTGCCAGCCCCACTTGTCAGGTTTCCCTCACTTTGCTGCGGCCCTGAGTTAAGACTCCCAGCAGGCTTCCGCAACCTGGCGCCCCCTAGGTGTTGTTTTTTGGACTACACCTCCCACAACCACTGACCTTTGGCCATGCTGGCTAGGGCTGATGGGAAATGGAGGTGAAAATGTCTGAAGGGGGGCACCATGTGGGGAAGGATGACTTGCAGGGTTGCACAAGTAGGTTGGGGGTTATCTGGACCCATGCGCCCCCAGCTTGTGTATACCTGCCCTAAAAGTAAAGCCAGCTCCCAACTTTTAATCCCAATGGCACACACACGTCGTTGAGAGGTTTCCTCAAAATATATTTTGAGCAGAGAATTCTACCCACATATTAAGGTTTCCTCCACCCCTTCTTTCTTAGAAATTGTCAACCGATGGGGAGGGTTTGGTTCTCCTTCAATTGGCCACCACATAATCCCAGTTGTCCTAAAAACAAAAAGACGTAGGGAGGGAAAACAAGGCAATAACCCTGTCTTTTCAGAAGTCTCCCCCCTAGATACCACACAATGGCTTGATTCAAACATTGATACCAAACCATGGTTTATAGTAGCAATAAAGGAAAAGCCACACGATGGTTTGAGCTTCCCGACATAGAGAGAAATGATGGTTTAGAGTTCCTTGTCTGTTTCCTGCTTCCATTTCTTCTGTGCCAGGACCTCCAGAGCTGGAGAAAGGGTTGTAGCTATGTTCCAGCAATTCAGATAAATTACAAAACATGATTTGTCAGGGCAGACAGTACAGTGGTACCTTGGTTTACAACCATAATCCGTTCCGGAGGTCCGTTTGTAAACCAAAACAGGTTTTAACCCAAGGCACGCTTAGGCCAATGGGGCCTCCAAAAATTTTTTGTTCGTAATCCCCCCCAAAAAAGGGTTGTAATCCAAAAAAAGGTTGCAACCCGGGACACGCACTTCCGGTTTTGACGTGTTTGTAATCCAAAACGTATGCAAACCGAGACATATACAAACCAAGGTACCATTGTATGTCAAACCAAAGTTGAGCTTCCTTAGACTACAACCCCTTAGTCGCTTGCCTGGGAGTAAGCCCTATTAAACTCAGTGGGATTTCCTTCTGAGTAAACACATAAAAGATTGTACTGTTAACCATGTATTTGGTGTGGTATCTGAATTAAGCCAGCTTCCTTGAAAAGTCTCCAATTTCCTTAATTAATTAAGGAGATAAGTGCATTCTTTCTCCCTCTCTCTCTTTCCCCCCTGACCCAACTGCCCAGGGTATTTTCATTTGCTAAAACAGGGAAAGTATTGAAATAATTAGAAAATCAAGCAATGGGGAAGCATGTCAAGATTTTAATCCACCAAAGTCAGCAAATCCTTAATTAGGAGTCCTGGTGGAGTGAAATGCAAAACATCGCTGATAAAAGACAGAAATCATGGGAATGTGTCCCAGAAAATTAGAATACTCATGAAATATCAAGTCACCAGATTTAAATATATCCAGTTCGATTTTTTTAAAGAAGAAGCTGTGGCTTGAACCCAGAGAAGCTTCCTGCAATTGCGGAAGCATCTCTTGATCTGACTCACTCAGCTTTTTGCTTTTTTTGTGGTGGGGGGGGCAGATTTTTTATAAGAAACATCCAAACTTGGGGTTTTAGTGGGGGTTTTTTAAAAACGCACCATCTGATTCTTATAAAAATCCAAGGTTGCAAACCAAATTTTAGTCACGAAGAGCAGATTTGGCTGAGCAAGTTTTTAATTTTTGCTGAAAACGTATGAATTTTTTTTTAACCTGATGGTTAAGTAAGCTAAGGCGGCTTTGTCTTTTTATTTTTGTTTTTAAGAAAGGTTATTTTATACTCCGGTGCCACTCTCTTGAATTTGTGGGTGTAAATTTTGATGCTGCAGTCCAGACCCACATCAAACTAAAATGAAATAAAACCTCTTTCCTGCATTAAACACACACAATCCCCGTAATTCCAAGAGACACTTGAGGGTTTATGCTTCTGCCTGCAGTTGACATGCCTCTCACACTAGCCAGACACTCTCCAGAGAAAAATTGAGCATGCTTAAATCCTAATGAAATCACTGCAGCTTAAACCTATGCAGTGTTCTCTGGAATGTCCCTGCCTAGAGACTTTAAATGGATGTCAAGGTCTTTGCTAGGGAGCAAAGCCGACTGCAGTCCCCTGGGGAATAGCCATCTGCTCCCAGGTTCTGTTGAAACAGAAGCTATAGTTGCCCCACCCCCGGTCACCTCTGGCAAATTACCTCCTGCTCTAGGGTAGACCTGTAGCCAGCTGGTGGCTTAAATGCACATAAGCAGCCTTGGGTGGAGTGGCGAGAGGGTGTATTCATGGACCTGTCCCTGCTTAGGGGACTTGTGCCCCGGGGGGCACAGTGGAGACAAGCGGAGGTCACACAGAGACCGCGTTGGGAATTCCTGCTTCTGCGCTTGATGGCCCAAACCCCAAAAAGGTCTTTGTACAACGTAGCAATGCTAGATCAATTCAGGGTTGTTGTTGTTCTTAAATACACACAGGTCCTTAGATTGCATGACACATGAGCCATAGCCTGGCTTTAAAACCACACCCTTGGGGTTGGGGTGGAACAGAAGAATAGAAATTGGTTGACTTGTTGGCGAAAATTTCTCAGGCCAGAATCCCATGATTTCAGGCACCCACCCAGCCTATGAGAATTAGATCCCCAAATCCTCTTTGGTTAATTCCAGAACAGGTCAGGGTTTCAGAAGTTCCTCCCCACCGCAGTGCTGCGTTACTTAGAGAGATCTTGGCCGGGGAGCTCCACCTGTTGAGCATCCATCTCTAATCACTTTTGGTATCACGTTGCCCTACTTTCAAGGAACCTCAGTGCTTAGTTATACCAAAAAGAAGGGAAAGATGTCTGCCCTGACCCAGAGAACCTGAAAGCCGAGTGTGTCAGGGCAAATAACCCTTCCTCCTTGATCAACTCGTATGTTTGAAATGGGTGACCCTGGGGACTTATATGGTGAAAACCTGTGCGTGTCTACTCAGTGGTAAGCCCCATTTAGTTCAGTGGGACTTGCTCCTCGGTGTGCATGTGTAGGATAGCATTATCAAGGACCTTGAACCCCAGGATTAAATTACCACCCGCCCCGGGTACTGCTGTAGAAAACAAACCAATGTATCTGAATCCCGCTCCCAGGGAAATGGAGGAGTCCAGTATGAACAAAAAACCCCATTATATTTGGATTTCGATCTGGGGGTTGGGAAGGGAGGGAAAACCGGGGGTGGGGTGGGGTTTAAAACTGAAACCAAAAGTAATGTTTTCTTGAGAATTGGAATGACTTAATTTTGGAAAGTGGGGAGGGGGGAGGGAAAGATCTTTTCTGCCACAAGAATGTCGAACGTCTTTATGAGGCGATACCAAATATAGACATCAGAAGAATGTAATGTGGTTACTGATCCCAGTCACTCTTACGCGAACTTTAAAAAGAAAGAGAGAGAAAAAAATGTGTTATACAAATATGAATACAATGGATTTGTGAGTATCTGTGAAGGACAGGAAACTGCCGGCCTGGCAGCCAGATTACCGAACAAAGTTTTGTCTCTGCGTTCAGTCAGGCACTTGATGGGTTAAATCTCGCTGTTCCCCTGAAGAAGACCCACCCAGTCCCCACAGTGCTCCAGAGAGCTTCAAACTCAGGTGAATCCAGTGCTAATTTTCCTGCCATGTGGATTTAAAATGGATTTGCAGCAGTATCATCCAAAGTATGCTTCTGGGTGTGTTTACGTCCCCCTGTTAACCTAAAAGACCTGCAGGCCTGACTCCCCGCTGTGTAGAATAAGCCCTGCCCACTCACGAGCTTCTAAGAAGGCTTAACTCCTGGTCCGTGTGCATAGGATTGGGACCTACACAGGTTTACATGCAAGCGAGTGCCACTCAAGTTCAGTTGCTCTTTCTTCCAAGTAAGTGTGCATAGGATTTCCATTCTTGTGGCACACCTGATGTTGCTTAGTCTTAAAAGAGCAGGGCGAGCTGCCAAGTCGCCTTTGCAGAG